CGTCCCACGGGACACGTGGGATGTCCCACAGACACGTGGGATGCCTCACCTGACCCATAGGACGGCCCATACGTGGGACGCGTGGGACGTCCCATGGGACACGCCGTGGGACGTCTCATGGGACACGCCATGAGACGGTCCACGTGTCCCATGGGACAGCCCCGGGAGGTCCCTAGCTGTCTCATGGTGTCCCATGGTGTCCCATGGTACGTGGAACGTCCCACGGGACGTCCAGTAGTTCACAATGTCCCGCGCGCCAGGTGACGTAAATTAAATCGGAACATGCACAAGAGGTTGTACGGACCGTAACAAAAAATACACGAAAAACTCCGCGAGAGAGATTCAGCACACACCATCCATACGGCACCAGCGCACTTACCAAAAAATCCAAACTCAATTTCATGCATTCCTTCACTACTTTCAGTACAAAACGACCTGCGCTTCCAGGCCCCCTCCCAAACCGCCTTGAAACCGCGCAAAAACGGGCGTTGTACGGACCGTAACAAAAAATACACGAAAAACTCCGCGAGAGAGATTCAGCACACATAACGAACCGTCCTCTTCATCGGCAGAACCGGGTCAACATAAATGAACCGTCGGAAAGGCCCCCGTCATCATGTTTCCGTGTCCTCCGTCTCGTTTTCTAGTACTATTATTGTGTTGCTAACGATAATAACATTAAAAGAAGACGAGACGGGCCTCTCTAATATCGGATTCCCGAAACGTGCTCTTGAAACTCGCCACGATTCCATTGAACATGTATTATACGGAGTAAGTACAACCTAGAGTCAGTCGTGCTTCGTTCTTCCAAACTTGGTCGACACCGACGGCGCAGAGCTCACATCGACGAAATAATTCCTACACTGAGAGGTGCTCCGGGATCGTGCATATCCACCCCGTCAAACACGCGCCGCATGCATGCAGACAAGAAGCGAGACCCCCGCACCCCCTTATCGATGTACTTCGCTGTCATTTTATAGCTCTCTCGCTCACGCATGACAATCCGCCACGACTTGGTTTTGTTGTCCTCATCTCCAAACAACGATATCCGTCCAGCACGCGCGAATGTCTCTGTTGTCAATGAGAAGACCGAGAGAGACAGGTAGCGACGGCGGGAAGCGGCGGGAGAGACAGCGGCAGAAAACTGAGCTTGTTTCTTTCCCTTAAAAACTTCGGGGGGTACTGTAATCACCCCGGGGGGAAAAGAGCAATATATTGACACACATTCACACGTTGCCGTGTTCCCCCTATGGACAAGATATATGCGAGTACGCATTGAGGAGGTAAAGGAAGGAGGGTAGTACGTGCGGAGCCCTGACCCCTTCCGGTTACAAACACACTACCGTCTTCTAGAGAGTACCCCCCGACGCCGTTCGAGTTGAGAGTGGTGTCTGCAACCGCAAAGCGTAACTGCTACGAGAACGGGTGAACGCTTGAGGTTGTGCGCTACACCTGACTACAGCACTACAGTGCAACGATGACCCGTAGCGGGAGTGCGTGGGGCAGCGACCCTCCTCAACATCGGTGCCTAACTCAGCTGGCGCAGGAAGGAGACCGAGCCAGACGACGAAATCGACATCTCCAGCGACAACGATTCGTCGCTTTTGCCTTCAGTTATCGTCGTTCCAAACACGGTAACATACAATACGTACTCTGGGCGCGTCAGCTCTGGTAAGTAATAAGTACTTGTGGCGAATTATCACCCGAAAACAAATCCCCGAGCGGCTGTCACAAAAAAGGCTGACAATGTTTACTTTGCCCCGGGAGTACATATATAATAGGGCGGGACAACTTTGTTTTTGAAAAAACAATCAACCCGGCGGATACGACAAAAAGTTGACAGTTTTTCGCCCA